ACTAGCCTGGCGAACATGGTGAAATCCCGTCTCTACTAAAAATACAAAAAACTAGCCAGGTGTCGTGGCAGGCACCTGTAATCCCAGCTACTCGGGAGGCTGAGGCAGGAAAATTGCTTGAACCCAGGAGGCGGAGATTGCAGTGGGCCTGGGCAATAGAGCAAGACTCCATCTAAAAACAAACAAAAAATAATTATCCACTACTCACGCATATGCCAATGGGGATAACTAAAGTAATATCCAGACACACTCCCCATGGCTGGTCGCTTCGCTGACTCTTTCTCAGCTGTCAGATCTCAGCCTATAGGTCACCTGGTCAGAGAGGTCCTTCCTAACCACTCTAAGCAGCTCCCTCCCCAGCCCCATTTACTGTCACATTATATTGTTTACTGCTTCTTTCCTTTACTCCACTCACAACAAAATTATTTCATTTATGTAATAATTTGGCTCTCTTCCCTACGGGAATTTAAGGCTCAGAAAGTGAGGCGCCTTGTCCGTTCTGATCACTTCTGTAGCATTTAACTCAAGGTAAGCAAAAATTGAAAGGAAGGGGTAAAACAGAAAGAATAAGCTCTGCCATCAGATGTCTCTTATTTATACCCTGACACTAGATTGGGGTTAAATGTTGATGATCATTGAAGCTGTTAGACATATGGGAGCTTGCTAGCCTTTTGACGTGTGTGTATACGCACACATGAGGGAAAATTTCAATTAAAAGTTAAAAACAAAGTTGTTTATCCCTGGGTTTTAACAGTCCTGAATAGCAGGCCTCAAAGGGGGCTCCTAGGGAGGTCTCTCCCCTTCTCCCAGGGACAGCCAGGCCTGCCATTGGCCACCACAGTGCTTTAGCTGAAAGTCAGTGAAATGGATGTGTAGCTGAGGGAGAAAAGCAGTATGTCGTGGAATCCTCAGAGCTTCTGGTGAGCGCTGAAAGGAATGAATGACACATTTGTAGAGCAATTACATTAACATGTTTTCACGTACGTTTTGTTGGGATAACCACAGTATGAAGTATTATTATCCCCATGCTTATTTTATGATTTATCTCATTCAAAGTTTAACCCAAATGCTTTCAGCTAGACAGAAATAAGATTCAAACCTAACACTTGCTGAGTCTCCATCTCCTCATCAGGAAAATAAGAATGCCACCCACCTCCTTCATGCAATGATAGGGAAACGTAAGTAACAGGAGGGTGCTTAACAGTTTGCCAGACATGTGGCCCACGCTCACTCACTCCTCTCACTCACTCCTCAACAGGAAGGGCTGTGTCTTATCTTTTCTAATGCCATGCACTACCTAGCACAAAGCCTAAGTGTGTAATTATTTGCTAAATTTCAGAGGCAAAAGGTCAACAGACAGTAAGTAGCAGAACAAGTCCTTGAATCAACACTTTCAGATCAAAGTGTTTTCCACAACACCAGGCTGCCTCTCTGGTGGTTTGAAAATACTTTTTTAAAATCCCATTGACAGAACTTGGACCTACCTATAAATTCAATGTAAGCAAATAAAATACTTTGTTTAGTCCTTCAAAAGCTTCCTCCCACTTTTTTCCTACTCCCTCCTCTAAGATCCTTGTTCTAGAAAGTGTTTTCTCCCACAGGAGAAATCCATTTTTTATATTTGTTAAAAACTTTTAAATAAACAGTAGTTATTAAGTCATTTCACACTCAAACTTTTATTATAGACTCCCACAGCCGAGCTGCAACCCAACAAGACAGGAGAGCAGCAGAGTCTCCCGCTAAGTCTGTAAACAAGCTCCCTGGCCTCTATAACCTCCAACACCGGGGAGCACGCCTCTGTGACTCCCCAAGTATTCTCTAGCCATCACAACAAAAGTGTTTTGAAGCCCAAGATGAAAGGATGTGATCACAAGAGGCCGAAGGTATAGGCTGCTAAGAGAAGAAAACAAGAGAGATGGTTTCCATGTGATAGGGGCCAGGAAATGTGTGGGCAGGAGGTGCTCAGGGCTGGGCTTCCCACCACTGCAAAGAATGGCAGGGAATAGACTTTCCACAGTGTTTGTGGTGAATGGCTTCCGGCCCCATAAAAGAGCACAGAAAATAAAAATAAACCACCCCACAGAGGTGTTAAGCAAGGGGGAGCAGGAAATGCTAGGGTCTACCTCACTCTCCATGCAGTAGTACTCAAAATCAACTCCTTCAACATACTTCAGCTGAAAAAACACCAAAGAATCAGAAACGCAATGGGGCTTGGGGGTATGTCTTTAAGTTCGAGACAGGGTCTTGCTCTGTTGCCCAGGCTGAAGTACAGTGGTGCTATCATGCAGTCTCTACCTCCTGGGCTCAAGTGACTCTCCCAACTCAGCCTCCTGAGTAGCTGGGACTACAGAGGTGCACCGCCATGCCCAGCTAATTTTTTTTGTTTTTGTACAGACAGGGACTCACTGTGTTGCCCAGGTTGGTCTTGAACTCCTGGGTTCAAGCCGTTCTTCCGCCTTGGCCTCCCAAAGTTCTGGGATTACAGGTGTTAGCCACTGCACCTGGCGTTTTTTCAGTGTTGTTTCATTTTTTTTTGTTTTTTGTTTTTGTGACTAAGTTTCGCTTTTGTTGCCCAGGCTGGAGTGCAATGGCACAATCTTGGCTCCGTACAACATCTGCCTACCAGGTTCAAGCGATTCTCCTGTCTCAGACTCCTGAGTAGCTGGGATTACAGGCACAAGCCACCACGCATGGCTAATTTTTGTATTTTTAGTAGAGACGGGGTTTCGTCATATTGATCAGGCTGGTCTCCTGACCTTAGGTGATCCGCCCACCTCGGCCTCCCAAAGTGCTGGGATTACAGGCATGAACCACCACGCTTGGCCTTTTAAGAACAGGGTCTCACACTGTTGCTCAGGCTGGAGTACAGCGGCTACTCACAGGTCCACAGTTAATTCTTCAGTACGTGTGAAATTGAGAACCATAAAGCAAATCAACAGAAGCATAAAAACAAGACTTACCTATAATGAGCCTTTAACTAAATCTAATCCCAAGACTTCGAAAGCAGTCTGTAGGTTTTACCCCTGAAGCGAATATTGAAAAGACACACCAAAGATGAATGTTCCCTGTTGATGGTAACTGGCTTGGGTAAATCACAACCTCTGAGACCACAGCTGACCTGGCAAATGGGAATTTAATGCCTGTCCCATGTACCTCAAGATCATTATGAAAAAATAAACAAAACCTGTATATTAAAGACTCTGCAATTACAATGTCTTCCTTCATAAAATTACTATTATTCCCAGTTTTCAACCCATGTCTCAAAGTTCAGATGCTTATCTTATTCAAAATTCCAATTTCTCTAGACTAAAAATTATCCAGAAGCCTCCTGATAAGGTCTATGACATCTGTATATAAAACAGATTAGGCCAGGCACGGTGGCTCACACCTGTAATCCCAGCACTTCGGGAGGCCAAGGCGGGCGAATCACCTGAGGTCGGGAGTTTGAGACCAGCCTGACCAACACGGAGAAACCCCCCCTTTACTAAAAATACAAAATTAGCAGGGTGTGGTGGCGCATGCCTATAATCCCGGCTACTGAGGAGGCTGAGGCAGGAGAACTGCTTGAACCCAGGAGGCAGAGGTTGCAGTGAGCCAAGATCGCACCATTGCACTCCAGCCTGGACAACAAGAACAAAACTCCGTCTCAAAAAAAAAAAAAAAAAAAAAAAGCAGATTAAACTGCTCAATCATAATCTCAGTGAACTAGTATCACTTAAGAATGGCAAACCATGACCCACATAGCCACAGCCAATTTTCGTAAAGTGACAGCGGAACACAGCCATGCCCATTTGTTTAAGGAAAAGCTTGCTGACTCCTGACTCAGTGTGTTATCAGTTAGGCAAAGAGCTAATAAGGAACACACAGGCCCAACCTTTTCACCAAGTTCCTAGGTAATCTTGAGACACACCAAAATGTGAGAACCACTGCTCCAGATCAGGGCTTCTCAAATCTTATTGTCCACATAAATCACCTGAGGACCTTGTTAAAATGAAGATTTTGCTTCTGTAGGGGTGGGGGGGGGGGTGGCCTGCGCTCCCAGGTGATGCCAATACTGGTAGTCAATGACTACATTTTGAGTAGCAAGACTCCAGAGCAGTGTTTCTCCGATTTGCTGTGCTCTGGAATCACCTGGGTAGCTTTACAAACTACAGATGCCACCCCGATTTTTACTTAATTGGTCTGGGGTGTGGCCTGGACGTTGGGATTTTCTTTTTACATTCCCCAAGTCATGCTAACGTGCAGCCAAGTTGGAGAAGCTCACATCTCATCATTCTCGGTAGTTGGCTAAATTTAAGTAGTGGCATTCTCAACATAGCTTGCACCCCATATATAGCAACCCGACAGCACCCAAGATGAAAACAGGGCTGCGAGCATGACACACATCGATAAGCCCAGACTTCAGCCAGGAGACCTACGTTCTACCCAAGCTTTGTCATGAACTCTGATCTTAAGCAAGTCACAAATCTGAGTTTAAATTTCCTCACCTAACTAATGAGGACAGGAACCCCTAAGGTTATTGCAAGAATAAAATGAGAGAATATTTGTGAAGGTGCTTTGGAGAATATCGTATCTTATAAGTCAACATACACATAACCCCCATTTTTCACTCTGTTTACATTGCCTAAGAAAAACATACTTCACTTTTACCAGTAAAACATGTTGAAACAGATGTAAATGTGGAAGCACATACTTAGTTCAATTTCTGGCAAAGTGCTTAATGATGCAGTTCCAGGAATGCACTGTCATAAGAGTGGAAGCACCTGTAATAATCGAAGGATTAGTAAAGGATTACCTGCTCCAGGAAGAAGACAAAGGACTGCCATTTCCCAGGGTTGTCAGCACTGCCTTTTGCCATTCACTTCAAATACTCTTAATGAAAACAAGGAGGCAGGTTCACAGATGTAAGTTACCAACTCATAGAGTTCAGCACAGAGGACCGAAGGGAAAAAAAGGATTCTGATACCAGTAAAGAACAAAAACAGAGCCAGAGGCATAAGGAGGAGTGGCATGGAGTTCTTTAATTAGGAAGGCAAAAGGTTACATTTAATGAAAGGCAGGTTGGATTAATAAATGTTTGTTAGAAAGTTGTTCTGACACAGAGTGAACTCTGGGCTTTTCTCTTGCATAAAAATCAGAGCTAGCAGTAAGTGCAAATCTGAAGAAAATCCATGTGTCCAACAAGCTGCCAGCTCCAGAACTCTTATCCAGGAAATTCAAAGAGTGAACCTAGAAGAAAAAAGCAGCAAGGTAAAATGTCTTATGATACTAGAGACAGGGCCCCAAATCCTTCCATCTAAAGTCTAACCCACAAGACAGTTACGGGGTTCCTACACTCAGGACAATATTTAAACCAGGCGAGAAAAACTAGAAAGAAGCAAGTATTTCTCACAGAACATTTTATGGGAATAGTATCCAGAAAAATTAACGTTCAAAACTGAATTTCAAGCACACCAAGGCAAAACCAACTAGGAGCTGGGAGACGTGTGTTCTAACTCCAGCTCTACCATTCATTAGCTGCACGACTTCACAGAAGTCACTCTGACTTCCCTGGCCCACAAATTCTTTGAGGTGAGAGGGTTGTAGTTCAACCTAAAGAGCTTTCCGGAATCTAAAATGCTTATAAAGCACAGATTTCCATTGGCAGGGAGGCAGGGTAGGGAGTAAGGATTCAAGAAAGAAAGAAAAATTCCCAATCTCAGCTGTAACAAAGGACCAAAATACAAGACATAATTTAGTTCTCATTTAAAGATAAGTTTATTTTTGGCAAGAAAAAGGTGAAGAAAGAGTAACCCCAACATAAGTGGCTACATTGCTGCTAGAGCCAAATGGAACTGAGATCTGTGAGTTGTAAGGTGGAACCCTCACCACAAGATACAGGCTTCCTTTAGTCCCTCAAAGCACAGCCTCTCACCTACTGGACTCCAGCACAGGCCTGGCTGGAAAACCTCCGGCCCTAGGGGCTCCACTGTCTCCAGCCATAAGCAACTGATTTTCCCAGTGTGCCATAAAAATACTGTTATCTCCTATGTGTACCATGACTCAAAAAAGGCTGGGAAATACTACCTTTCAGAAGAACCGGGCTGCCCCAGGAGGTAAAAGGGCACTGCCTTATTTGGTATATTGGGTCAAGTAAGTAACCTGGAGATTCTGGCATCAGAGCTTAAAGGAGAAATGTTAGACTTTCAGCCAGAATGCGTTTATTTCACTAACAATGGTATTTAGAGAAATGCTACATAATTGCAGAACATTGCTGAATCAGTGGTATTATAAGAAATGTGTAAAAGAGTGAGCAGTAACAGGAAGCAAAAGGTGTTCATAGTGCCAAACAAAACCAAACAGACCTATTCAAACTCAACTATTCATTCCATCAAATTTCTTAAAGCAAACTCTCTGGCAATAGACTATAAACCAATGCAACATTACAGTTTTTTTCAAGACAGATTTTTGTGCTTATCGTCCAGGCTGGAGTGCAATGGCGCGATCTCGGCTCACCACAACCTCTGCCTCCTGGGTTCAGGCAATTCTCCTGCTTCAGCCTGCTGAGTAGCTAGGATTACAGGTGTGCACCACCACGCCCAGCTAATTTTTGCATTTTTAGTAGAGATGGGGTTTCACCATGTTGGTCAGGCTGGTCTCGAACTCCTGACCTCAGGTGATCCACCTGCCCCAGACTCCCAAAATGCTGGGATTACAGGAGTGTGCCACCGCGCCTGGCTACATTACAGTTCTAATGGCCAAGGTGAGAGAGGACTAGAGCATAAAGCCATTTTCAGGGAACAAAGCCTTGCCTGACACTTTTAGAAATATAAAAGAAATCCTAGTTTAGTACAAAATCAAAGTTTCAAGATTTTATGATATTAAAACATTTAAATATAAGATGCTGAGGCCAGTCCACATGAAAGGCAAAAATTGACTCATGAGAGTAAGTCTCTTTGACAGTGGTTTTCAGAAAATCCTATTTACAAAGATCTGTCCCCCTCTTTTAAAGCAGATCTATTTACCAGACACTATTCTAAAAGCAGAGGTTCTAGGACTCTGAAATGTTAGCTCACACAATTGATTATTCAACAGCTAAGAAGAATGGTTTCAGCTGTTAACCAGAGCATAAAGGTTTCAGGAAACTGACTAATAAAATCTCCTCCCCTGATATCAAGACATGCAAAATGGATGATACCTACTGAGAAAAGTTAGCGTGACTTCAGTCTATTTCACCTGTGCAGAAAAGACAGTGCCATTTAATCAGTTTGTTGTAATCATCTTAAAAGAAAGCAAGGCATAACACAAAGAACTGTTAAAAATGACTCTATAGAGATAGAAAAGATAGTGCCAGCCAGGGTCATTTCTATCTGGAATCTGTATTCTTCTCCAGCAATATCTCTATTCAGACACTAGCAATCGGCAGACAGGTTCAAATACTGATTTTCCTTCAAATTCATCTCATCCTGGATCCTCGTCACCCAATTAAAACTGAAATTAGAAATAATGTGAATCAAAGACCATTCTGCAGAAATTCTAGGTTTACAGCTCAATTTGAATCACCAGTTTTAGAAGGCACAGACTGTATATTTCTAAAAAATGAAAGGAGCTTTAGCGATCAGCTTCTTTAATCCTTTCATTACAGAGATGAGAAAACTGTGACCTGACAGTGTTGACAAATTTGTCCAGAGCTGTGCTGTCCAACACCACAGCCATTAGCCACAGGTGACTATTTAAACTTAGTCAAAGTTAAATTAAAAACTCAGTTCTTCAGTCTGTTGGCCACATTTCAAATGTTCAATAACCACATGTGGCTAGTGGTTACCATAACGCACAGTGCAGACCCTGAATGTTTCCCCACTGCAGAAAGCTCTATTGGACAGTGCTGGTCCAGGATCACCCTCAGTAGCCAAAGTCAGGTCTCCTGACCTGCATTCTCCTCCATTTCTCCTGGACCATATTAAGTATGGCCAACTATGCAGAAACATTTGAGATAGCCAGCCTTCATCCTTTCCTATCAATCTCTCCCAAATTTTTCCCATTTAAAAAAGAAAAGCATCCAGTCTGATGGTTCTGATGAAAATTTAAAATAAATAAAAATTTCTTAAAGAGAAAAGCAAATTTAACATTTTTAATGAAAACCCTCTAACATGACATATATATAAAGCCATCATCTGAAAGTCCTAAACATAACAGGAAGGAATATAAAGGTTCAGAGTCCAAATGTCTGTTATCCAGTTCCCCCTCAGTCACTTATTAGTTCCAGGGCCTGGATACATCAACTTAAGTTTCACCAAGGTGTAATTACCTAGGTGTAAAATGAGAATACTACTATTTGTCTATCTCCACATCACTGGGTAGGAAGGAAGAATCACATGAGCTGATGTATGTAAAAGTATATGTGGAATGTATGTGAATCCTACAAGCTTGTTAATGTGGGAACTATAAGACATTTTACAAAGGTTTATTCTTGTAAAAGGTTTCATACAAATATATGCATCTAGTTATAATCACATTTAACTTTCTACCTCCTATAAATTGATAATGGGAATCTGAAAATATGAATAAAAAGCAACAATTAAGGAGAAAACAGAAAGCAAAGCCCAATTGAGGAGCCACAAAAACAGTACAATCCTCCTCAAACACAAAGGAACCATCAAGAATTATGCTGAGAGGCATTAACAGTGGCAAGGGACTTTGATGAACATCCAGGCCAATCCTCCCACAGTGCAGACAGAGAAACTGAGGCTCAGAGGTAAGTTTATTTGTCCATTCAACTAGTTAACAGAGCAAAGGCTACAATACAAGTCTTCTGATTTTTTTTTTTTTTTTTTTTTTTGAGACAGGGTCTCACTCCATCACTCAGGCTGGAGTGTAGTGGCATGATCACAGTTCACTGCAGCCTTGACCTCCCATGCTCAAGCAATCCTCCCACCTCAGCCTTCTGAGTAGCTGGGACCACAGGCACACACCACCATGCCCCTCTAATTCTTTTGATTTTTGGAAGAGACAAGGTCTTGCTATATCGCCCATGCTGGTCTCAAACTCTCGGGCTCAGGCGATCCTCCCACCTTGGCCTCCCCAAGTGCTGGGATTATAGGCCTAAGCCACCGTACCCAGCCCCTCCTCTGACTTCTTGTCTCATGCTCTTCCCCACTCCAGAGCCTCTCCCATGAATCTCTGCCTTGGCTTTTCTTTCGTAGCACTTTCCATGTTTTAGCATCCAAGTAACTTAATAACATAACTTTTCCTTGCAGTTAAAAATTGTCTATTTGGTCGGGCACAGTGGCTCATGCCTGTAATTCCAGCACTTTGGGAGGCTAAGGTGGGCGGATCACAAAGTCGAGAGATTGAGACCACACTGGCCAACATGGTAAAACCACATCTCTTATAAAACTACAATAATTAGCCAGGCATAGTAGCACATGCTTGTAGTCCCAGCTACTCGGGAGTCTGAGGCAGGAGAATCGCTTGAACCCGGGAGGCAGAGGTTGCAGTGAGCTGAGATGATGTCACTGTACCACAGCCTGGGCAACAAAGCGAGACTCCATCTCAAAAAAAAAAAAAAAGAACAAAAAAGGTTTATTCATTCATACACTCATTCAACAAACACACACTGTTACTGTTCACAACTGAGTCCAGTGGGAGAGAGAAGAAAGTGAATGAATAGTTTCATAACAATGTGATAAGTGCAGCATTGGAGGTATGCAGTAGACTAAGGGCCCAGAGAAGAGGCTCTTATGCAACCTGAGGGGTGGGAATGACTTGGGTGATAGGAGTCATCCAAGCTGGGAGGATGGAGAAAATAAGGCAGGAGAGTTAGGGCAGCAATGAAATTCATAAATACAATTCTATTTCAATATTCTTTTTTTCTTTGGTAGTCTTAAAAAGTAGACCAAATATAAAATAGAGTTCAATAAACAAGTAGAGTCATCAATTAGCACTTTTTAGCAAATAAAACAGTAGATTCAAAGTTTTAAGAATAAAAGGTAAAGAACTAATCTCAGAGCCAGGCACTGTGACACACCTGTAGGTCCAGCTACACGGGAGCCTCAGGCAGGAGGATCACTTGACCCCAGGGAGTTCCCAGCTTGGGCAACATAGAAAGACCCCATCACATAAAAATATATATATAATTAATCTCACCTTCTAAACAGAGAAAAATGAGTTGAAAAAAGTTATGATGTGACCACCTCAGAAGATTTCCTACAAATTTAGGACAGTTCCCTTGGAGAGGGCTTATTTGGTGGCAGGACCTAATTCAATATAAGGTGGAAATATCAAAGAGAAAATGAAATAAAAACTAAATGGGGCCCTCCACCAACAAAAAATTAAAGATTATTGCCTGTAGGAGGTCACTACTGAGTATAAAAGATGTAGAACAAACAAAAAAAGGAAGCTCTCAAACTGACAAGGTGAAAAAAAGAAAACAAAGGGTCTATGTGCACAGTCTTGGTCTTCCCCTATGAAACAAAATCTAGGGCCACTTTAGGGTTCTATGCCCTTTTGTTCCTAAATCAACATTGCCCACTTCTGGCCAGAATGTAAAGCAACCCCCAACCCAGCATCTAAGCCCACCTGGACCTCTGCTGCCCCCCAATGACTGGAAAGAAACTAGGTTTTATAACACAGGTATCAGTAGCTTCTTCCCCCAAATTCAACTCCTCTTATGTTTTGTAGCAGTCTCTCAACACATGAAACATGCAATCCACTAGGTGGCAGCAAAGCCTACAGATTAACATCAAGATCCCCTTCCAGAGGTAATTTTCTAGATTACTATACTTAACTGAATTCGAAAAGCCAACACAATTGCATGTTTGTAAACAGTGCTGCCAGTCAGTTTAAAATGTTCTGCCCAACCCTTGTTCCAGCTAGGATCAAACACTGAATTTTTTAAGACTTATGGGAGAATGGTATCCATTATAAAAACAAAACCATGCTAACCAGGCACAGGTATTTGGCAACTATCTCCCTGGGAGTTGAGCACATTTTCAAGCAAGGTTTTGTCCCTTTGGGCCCAGTTCACGCTTCCTTCTGATTCAGGGACCAATTCATCAGGAACTTTAATTCTCAAACTGTGATCCAATACAGTTCTGTCCTTCTTTTCCTCATTACCCTTCAGAACACCTAAGATGGACTGAGATTTTTTTTAAAAAAGAATTTCACAGGCCAGGTGCAGTGGCTCATGCCTGTAATCACAGCACTTTGGGAGGCCAAAGCGGGCGGATCACGAGGTCAGGAGTTCGAGACCAGCCTGGCCAACATAGTGAAACCCCATCTCTACTAAAAATACAAAAATTAGCCAGGCATGATGGCAAGTGCCTGTAGTCCCAGCTACTTGGGGAGGCTGAGGCAGGAGAATTGCTTGAACCCGGGCGGCAGGGCTGCAGTGAGCCAAGATTACACCACTGCACTCTGGCCTGGGCAAGAGAGTAAGACTCTGTCTCAAAACAAAACAAAAAAAAAGAATTTCAGAAAGAAACACAGAAAAACAAACATGGAAAAAACTAAAGTATATAAATTTTTAAATACTGAAATCCACTGAGCTTCTTTCTGTCATGCATTCATTCAAAAATATGCTGCCGCCTACACACCAAAAACTGATCATCATTTCAGGTGTGCCCTGGGATTTCTGGGAGTCAGAAGCCCACTGGGAGCATTTTTGCTTTTGTATTTTCATTTGTATAGTCTAAAAAATACTGAGTCTTTCTTGATGACCTGGATAGAAACATTAGTTATAAGATTTCTAGCAAGGCGCTCTTTTTTTTTTTTTTTTTTTTAAAAAAAGAGTTTTTCCTCTGGTAGGGCTGGGTGCAAATGGCGAATTTTGCTCTCCCTACATCCTCTGCCTCGTGGGTTCAAGTGATTCTCCTGCCTCCGTCTCCCCAGTAGATGGGATTACAGGCACCGGCCACCACGCCCAGCTAATTTTTGTATTTTTAGTAGAGACGAGGTTTCACCATATTGGCCAAGCTGGTCTCGAACTCCTGACCTCAGGCGATCTACCCGCCTCGGCCTCACAAAGTGCTGGGATTACAGGCGTGAGCCACCACGCCCGGCCGTCCTAGCAAGGCTCTCTCAACTTCAGTTCCTCATCTGTAAGTGAGAACAGCAAACCTATCTTCGTGAAATTATTCCGAAAATAAAATGATATAGAACAAGAAGTACTTAAAGCATAGCACACACTGAGCACTCATTCTCTGTTAACTTCCTTACTTCCCCTTGAATTATTTTTTTTAACCCAATGCCATTTTCTTTTGATCTTCCTCTTTCAGAGTAGTTCAGAGTTTGTCACCCCCAAATTCATGTAAGATCAGCTATATTACAGATGTTTATTTTTTTAACATCAAACTCTCAACTTAGTTGGAAAATAGGAAGACGTTCCATCTGTTTTGTTCTACCTTCTGAGCTGGTATAAATATTGAGAATTTACTTGGAACTGTTTTGAAAGTGCTATGGCACACTGCACATATAGCTGAGTTAAAAGCACATAAAAGGAGCAAATAAAAGTATATTTTTAAAAACTGAGAGTAGGACAGTGTAGTATATGTCAAATGAAGGATCTCTATGAAAAATAATCTGGGCAATCCCCCAGAGAGAAGGATTTTTCTATGAACATACTCTCCATAGAATGATTTAACACTGCAATCTGGGATTGAGGATTTTGCTATGCTTTGGACCCATAATTCCCAGCTGAACAGGTGGTCCTAGGTTGTTAATATGGTCTGCAGTACACAGTTTCTGCTGAGACTGCTTTTTTGTCTCTGCTTTTGTCGTAATTTTGAAATACTAAGCTCTCTGCAGTAGAGTCCTCCTCCAATCATGACAGCCCTAAGAAATAATTTTCCATGATTTGGTATCTCCCTGAGACTAGAAAACATCCTTGAAATGTTTGCTCTGTCCCGTTCCTAAGTACACACCATGACTCATCTAGAAAAAAAGAACTTCAGAAATCTAGAGTAAGCAATCAGAAGACTTAAGACCTTTCCAGAAGGCTCTACCAGGAAGCCCAAGGGTTACTCATAGTTGCAAGCGTGAGAAGGTCAATGTTGGTGGGTCAGTTTTCTACCTGCATTCAAAGTTATCCACTGGTAACAGTTAATTGTAACTGGCAATAGTTGTTATCCATTGGTCAGATAACTCATCTGCTGCCCCAGCTCCCAGATGGTACAGCTGCTCTCTTCTCTGGATTTATTGCAGCACTTTGTTCAGACCTTTACTGAGGCCCTAACTGGGCTGTATTTTAACTGTTATGTTTACATATTCTCCCCACTAGACTGTACATGTCTTGGAAGACAGAAGCCAGTTTGGGGATTTTTTTTAAATTGAGGTAAGGTCTTACTATTTTGCCCATGCTAGCCTCAAATTCTTGAGCTCAAGCAATCTGTCCACCTCGGCTTCCCAAAGTGCTGGGATTATTAGGCATGAGCCACCACACCCAGCCAACAATATTGTTTATATTCCCAACAACAAGACATTGGCTGGTACATAGAAGGGGAGGGAGGGAGGGAGGGAAGAGGACAACTCAAGTCTTAATCAGGTCTCTAAGGAGTTAAACTGTATTAAAATAACAGAACAAAGTGGTTCTTAAAAGTTTTTCACTGAAATAAACCTCTCTGTCAACTTACCACTACCAAAATGATACCTTACCTGAACTAACAGAACCGTTTTTGAGGCAGTATCAAAGGAAAGGATTTATGTAACATATTATAAGTAAATGACTAACTCACGTCAGAAAATGAAGTATAGTCACTGTCACATTATTGCATCCACTTTGCACACAGATGCTCTAAAACTCTTGTACTAGATTTCTGCTGATTAGTATAAAAATGACAGCTTTCCAAGTGGTGACAGGAAGAGGCTGGTCCTAGGATATCCTTCCCCCAAATAGGATGAGATTTCCTAAGGTTCTCTTTTCTCTACCACCCAGAACATTAAATTTTGCAATGCAAAGGCAAATATTGCATGCATTCATCAGTAAGCTACATGGGATACCAGAAGGAGTACTGGGCCAAGAACACCGCTAGACTAGGGCACTTCACTGCAAACACTTAACTATGCCGCCAGGGAAGGCCCATGGATTGTTCTAGGCCTCTGTTGTCTCATATATAAAGTAACAGTGTTGACATACGGTATGGAAACAGCCAGGTATTTATTAAAGCTTTAGAACTCTGCTTGGGAGGGAGGGATGCAGGGGAGGGCATACCATACATGAAGAGAAAGGCCAAGCAGAGAGGGCTTTTCAATTTCTGTCCATCAAAAAAACTCCAATTCTACCTCTGCTTTACATACCAAGATTCTTTTTGTAAGAGTTTGTTTGGGAGAAGGGAGAAAGAACTCTACTGCTAAAAAAATGGAAAATGGCAAATGAACCAAGCAGCATCCCATCTTACATTTTAAAGTCTTCTCCCAAGTTAACCCAATTTCCCCATTTATTTCTACTTTAAGGCACATATTAGCAAATGCCCACAGTCATTCATTCAACATACACTGGATGCTATCAAATTTAAGTGCTATGAAAACAATGGTCCAGCATTTAAAGTCATCTGAGATCAAAATCAGAAAAAAAATAACTAACAAATCTAAAGGCAAAACCTACCATTTATGTCTCTTCCAAAATCTCTGAGTTATTTTCATGGAGTTATTGGTGCAGAAATTATTGTACTAGCTACAAACACTAATTTCCTGTTATCTTAATGATTTGAAGAACAATAAGACAAGCCAATGACCACGAGTGGTAGCACTGATTAATTATGATATTAATGCATATTTTGCAGACCAATGGAAAATTCTGCAAATGTCAACAGCAGTATGGGAGACTTGCCAACCACAATCAAAACCAGTCCCATCCAATTTCTCTTCCTAAAATCAACATTACAGGACAAGGACTATGATCATCACTTACATTCTTTTAGTCTCCTACTCCTCAATTACGTAAATGGGAATGATTCAGCCAACAAAGTTCATGACAACAAGGTGCAGGATGGTGCTGGCAAAGAGAAAATCAGCAAAGGCTCGCTCTGGGGAGATGCCTTGGAAGTCCGCTTTGTTCTGTGGGTTGATCTGTATTCTCAGGCAAACTGCACAAGAAGCAAAACAAAAAAAATGATTATATGGAAGTATGAAATAAATATGACTGCTAATGAATACAGACATACCCTAGGACCCAACAATTCTACTCTAACAGAAATGAATGCATACATAGATCAAAGGGCATATACACAAATGATACCCAGATAGCCCCAAACTGGAAGCAATCTAAATGTCTATCAACAGTAAAATGGATAAATTACGGCATATGCAAACAATAGAATATTATACTGCAATGAAGAAGAACTTCTGCTATACACAAAAATGGATGAACTGCACAAGTAAGTGGGGCAACACAATCAAAACTTTATTTTTTTGGAGGGCGGGGACAGAGTCTTGCTCTGTCGCCCAGGCTGGAATGCAGTGGCACAATCTCGGCTCACTGCAACTTCCACCTGCCAGATTCAAGCAATTCTCCTGCCTCAGCCTCCCAAGTAGCTGGGACTACAGGCATGCACCACCACGCCTGGCTAATTTTTGTATTTTTAGTAGAGACGGGGTTTCACCATACTGGCCAGGCTGGTCTCAAACTCCTGACCTTGTGATCCACCCACCTCGGCTTCCCAAAGTGCTGGGATTACAGGTGTGAGCCACTGCGCCCAGCCAAAACTTTATACACACTGGCTGGCCAAACCAACTGGAACCCGGCAGGTCACCCAGAGAAAGCCAAAGCCAGAAAAGCCCGGCTCCCACACGGAGACCACAGGGCAGAACCTAAGTAAATATGTTGGGGGAACAAATGTACCCCCTCAATTAGATGAGGAATATTCTGGGATGCAGCCACATGGAGCCACTGTGAACTTGGCAGGAGACAGGGTCTGGTTATGATGCCCAGGCTAGACTGGAACCCAAGCGATCCTCCCACCTCAACCTCCCGAGCAGCTGGGACCACAGGCATGGGTGAACGCGTCTGCCCAGCTCCATGGTATTTTTAGTGTGACCTTCTATTTATGGATAATGATTCAGGTTCTCCATTATAAGTTTATTTTAAAAGTACATTTACTACAGTTTAAAAATGAATCAATTTAATTACTTTGTTTTTTAAGAAATGCACAAAAACCCTCGTATACAAAATCAAATTATTTTCAACCAAAGTGACAAAACCACTCAATGGGGAAACAAGTCTTCTCAACCAATGATGTTGGGAAAACTGGATATCCACAGGCGAAAGAATGAAGCTGGGCCCTTACTTTATACCATATACTACAAAAATTAACTGAAAACGGATCAAAGACCTAAATGTAACACCAAAAACTAAAAAACTCTTAGAAGAAAACAGAGCAAAAATTTTATGGCATTGGATTTAGCAATGATTTATTGGACATGACACCAAAAATACAGTCAACAAAGGTAAAAATAAATTAGACTATATCAAAATTTAAAACTTCTGTGCACAATAAACGTACAATAAAGAGCACAATAGTGAAAAGGCAATCTATGGAATGGGAAAAAATATTTGCAAATCACATATCTGATAAAGGGTTAATATCAGAATATATTAAAGTACCCCTACAATGCAATAACAACAAAATAATAACCAGATTTTAAAATGGGCAAAGGACTCGAACAGACATTTCCCCAAAGAAGATATAGGAATGGCCAACAAGCATATGAAAAGATGCTCAACATCCCTAATCACTAGGGAAATACAAATCAAAATTACAATGAGATATCACCTCTCAGCTATTAGGATGTCTAATATCAAAAAAACAAGAGTTGGCAAGAATGCAGAGAAATTGAAACCCTTGTGCACTAACGAGTGGGAAAATTAAATGGGGTAGCACTGTGAAAAACAGTACGGAGTTTCCTCAAAAAAATTAAAAACAGAATTACCATATGATCCAGCAATTCCACTTCTGGGTACATATCCAAAAGAAGGGAAAGCAGCATCTCGGCCAGGCACAGTGGTTCACGCCTGCAATCCCAGCACTTTGGGAGGCTGAACCAGGCAGACCACCTGAGGTCAGGAGTTCAAGACCAGCCTGGCCAACACAGTGAAACCCCACCTCTACTAAAAATACAAAAATTAGCTGGGCGAGGTGGGAAGGTGCCTGTAATCCCAGCTACTCGGGAGGCTGAGGCAGCAGAACTGCTTGAACCCAGGAGGTGGAGGCTGCAGTGAGGCGAGATCATGCCATTGCACTCCAGCCTATGTGACAAGAGGGAAATGCCGTCCTGGGGAGTTGGGAGGGTGGAGGGTGGAACCAGGCTCTCAAGCGATATTTGCATACCCATATTCATAGCAGCTTCAGTCACAATAGCCAAAAGGTGAGAGTAACCCAAGGGTCAGCAGAAGAATGAATAAGCAAAGTGTGATGTTTACATACAATGGGATACTCAGCCTTAAGAGGAAGGAAATTCTGGCACCTGCTACAACATGGCTGAATCTTGAGAGCATTATTTTAAGTGACATAAGCCATCATAAACAGACAAATACTACATGGTTTCACTTATATGACATCAAGAGTAGTCAAACTCCTAGAAACAGAACGTGCAACAGTAGATCCCAGGGACTGACAGAGAGGAGGATGAGGAGTTATTGTTTAATGGGGATTGAATTTCAGTTGCAGAAGACAAAAAAGTTTTGGACATGGACAGTGATGATGATTTTACGGCAATGTACATGTACTTAATGCCACAGAACTATACACTTAAAAATAGTTAAAATGGTAAATTTTGTCATGTTTTATCTTGATTAAAAACAAGAAAAAAAGGCCGGGTGCGGTGGCTCACGCCTGTAATCACAGCATTTTGGGAGGCTGAGGAGGTCGGGAGTTCAAGACCAGCCTGACCAACATGGAGAAACCCCATTTCTACTAAAAATACAAAATTAGCCGGGCATGGTGGTGCATGCCTGTGATCCCAGCTGCTTAGGAGGCTGAGGCAGGAGAATCACTTGAACCCAGGAGGTGGAGGTTTCGGTGAGTCAAGATTGTGCCATTGCACTCCCGCCTGGGCAACAAGAGCAAAACTCCATCTAAAAAAATAAAAAATAAAAAAACAAAAATAAAAAACAAGGGCCAGGCACGTGGCTCACTCCTATAATCCCAGCGCTTTGGAAGGCCGAGGTGGGCAGATCATCTGAGGTCAGGAGTTCAAGACCAGCCTGGCCAACACGGTGAAATCCCATCTCTAATAAAAACTACAGAAATTAGCTGGGCATGGTGGTACGCACCTGTAATCCCAGCTACTCAGGAGGCTGAGGCAGGAGAATTTGCTTGAATTCAGGAGGTGGAGGTTGCAGCATGCCAAGACGGCGCCACTGCACTCCAGCCTGGGCAACAGAGGCTCCATCTCAAAACAAAACAAAACAAAACAAAACAAGTGTATGCTATATGATTCCATGTACAAAAAGCTTAAAACTTGGTAGAACCGATCTATGGTAAGACAGTGGTTTTTATCTTTCACAGGGAGAGGATGACTGGGAAGATGCAAGGCGGCTTCGATGGTGCTGATCATGTCCTGTATCTTGATCTGGATAGTGGTGAGATAGGTAAATTTAAAAATTCATCAAGTTGTACAATTAAATTTTGTACTCTGTTAAAGGAAGAAAACATTTGACTGTCAGAGTTATACTGAAACCTAGAGGCTTTCTCAGAGAGAAAAAAAAAAACGTATAAGCAAAAAACCCACAAAGCTCTCTTATCCCCTGATTTAAAGGTTTCTAATTATACCTAGATGGGGATGCACTTGAGGCAACAACAAAGGGTCTGGGCTGAATGATACAAAGTTACAAAAATGTGAATTATTTTCTAATAGAATATTCACTTAATGGGTAGCAGAGTTTATAAAGATAGCACGCTCATTCACGAGGACCTCACAGTTCTCGATAAACTATCTTTGATCTCGAAGTTCCAGCAGCTGCTTATTTGTCTCAAAAAAGGCAGAAGACCTAAGCAATATAATTCATGAGAACTCTCCACTGCCACACTCTATGCCCTTGAAGATCCTTACAGTCACCATTGACCAAAAAAAAAAAAGGTAGTTCCAGGAATACACTCTTCCAAAGTATCTTCATGCCTGTGATAAATTATTACACTGCTTAAGAAAACCTAAACTCGCTTCAGGCTAGCATCATCCCATCATTAACTAAGAAAACGCAACAAACAAATCTAATCCAAAGGCCAGAAAACTATCAGACTAGTTCTCCAGAGCCTGTCACCATGGCGACAGTTTTCATTATGCTTAAACATGTAAACACCACGGAAGCACCACTGATCTTTTCAGGTATCCAGGCCCTTAAAAATATTAAAGACAATGACTGAAGCAAGGGTACCAAGTAAACCCCTGCTGTAGAAAGGACAGATTCATTCATCCATTTGGGAGAGCAACTAGCAATATCCATTAATATTTAAAATGATTTTACCTTTTGACAAAGGAATTTATCTTACAGAACAAAGACATTCTGAAAGTATGTTTGTAAAGTCAAAAAAAAATTAAAACAGTCTAAACATCATATACTACTGACATGCAATGAAATCCCATGCAATTATTCAAAAGAATAAGGTAAATTCTCTACATTGACAGCAAACATATCTAAGATTTATTAAGTGAAAAAAAGCCAATCTTTTTTTTTGTTTTTTTGGAGACAGGGTCTCACTCCATTGCCCAGGCTGGAATGCAGTGGTGCAATCATGGCTCTCTGCAGCCTCCACCTCCCGGGCTCAAACAATCCTCCCACCTCAGCGCCCCGAGTAGCTGAGATAACAGTCATGCACCACCATGCCTAGCTAATTTTTTTGTTTGTTTTGGGTAAAGACAAGGTCCCCCTACAGTTGCCCAGCAATCCTCCTGCCTCTGCTTGCCTAAGGGCAGGGATTACAGATGTGAGCCCCCACACCCAGCCCATTCCTTATTTCATTTGGCCAGAGCATGGTGGCTCACAACTGTAACCCCAACATGTTGTGAAACCGAGGTGGGAGGATCGCTTGAGCCCAAGAGTTTGAGACCAGCCTGGGAAAGATAGGGAGACCCCCGTCTCCACAAAAAA